TACATCTCACACTCATCTCTGATGATTTGTGTGGTGTCATTCTCCTCGAGTGTATCTAGTATTTCTGCACTAGATATCTGAAAGATAAAATGAAAATGTAATTATGCTGTTGCTGTATGCTCCTCACTGTCATTCTCCTCGAGTGTATCTAGTATTTCTGCACTAGATATCTGAAAGATAAAATGAACATGTAATTATGCTGTTGCTGTATGCTCCTCACTGTCATTCTCCTCGAGTGTATCTAGTATTTCTGCACTAGATATCTGAAAGATAAAATGCGCATGTAATTATTCTCTTGCTGTATGCTCCAATACAACTGGAAATCCAATCTAACGTGTTACATCCTGTGTCGCCGCAACAAGGATCTAACCGAATCAGCACAGCAAATTCATTTCAATGACTTCTGGTAGCATCTACAGACAAAAGTGCGAAGCGTTAAAAAATGCGTGCGTGGCTTACCCTGAAAAAAACACATGCTCAGCAAATTGCAAGTGGCGATCAGTGGCGATATCTGCGGCGTCCACGTGACATCTATGTTGAGTTCCAATTCGATCCCGCATTTGTGGTGAAATGACACATGATTGGATAACATCGTCTCTACATTGAAACGTGTTGCTATGCCGATTCAGTTAGATCCTCGTTGCGAAACAGGATCTAACACGTTAGATTTCTGAGAATCCCGATTAATTGGTGGATGTATATGACATGCATTTATTTCCTAGCTGCAACCATTACAGTATATACCTTAAAACATTTTCAGACAAATCACACAAAAACTATATAATAACTGAATAAGATTATGACGGACATAAAAAATACATAAAACTATTGTACTACACTTAGCAAATATTGTTAATATAAAGTACTCGCCCTTTGCAGCTCAGCACGTATGTCTACCCGTGCGACCTCTATCACTGATGGGTTGCAGTCTTCTCCTCTACAATTGTTCTTGATGTATTCCAGTATGAGAGGGCTCAAAAACTTTGGGGGTGGCCCACCTTGGCACAGTATCATGCCACACATCTGCCCAGCAAAAAAATACTCCCTCTTGTGGAGGCTACTCAAACTGGAAGTAGGGATGCTTCTTCCCTCTTCTCCCTGAAAAAGACTTGATGTAGCCAGCTCATGCAGCATCATCTGCA